CGCCCCGCGCGCCCGCCTGCCCCTCGGCCCGACCTCCCCCCCCTCCCCGTCCAGTGCATGCGCAGCGTCATGGCCACCCCCGCACACCCACCCCAGCAGTCATAAACACCCACTGATCGTTCCCTGATGAGCACGCTCATACACAGGCCCTCCCCCTACATCCCCTTCCCTCATAACGGTCACAAATTCGCATCGCTCCCCCCACCAGCCCCCTTTCTCGCTCTCACTCTCTCCCTTTCTAGTGAAAGAAAAGCTAGGTCTTTGGCACCTTTTAAACGTGATGAGGCTGAAATCATCTGACTCCGCTGTGTGATAAATCAATAAGACGTCATGCAATTTTCCAAGAAAAGCATGCTCAGCACAGACGTCCATGGCAAGTACACTGGAAAAACAAAGGTGCGATATCCTACCTTTCCAGGGGTGCTAAACCGTTTTTTGAGTTCTAAAGTGTGTATATTCAGATTTTCCCATATATTTTCTGAATAAGCAAACCGATCACATTTTGGGGTACATTGTCGCATTCCTCACAAAACTCCGCGTCCAGCTAGACTCCGTGTGATAGGGTTCTGATAAGCAGTCAGCAAATAAAAAGCAAGTCAAAAAATACAAACACATTCTATCAATTTATGTCATTTTTGAACAGAACCCCATCACACGTAGGCTCGTTCGAAGCGAAATTTTGTGTAGATTACGAAAATAGATCTAAGAATCCAATTTTATTGCAGAGGAACGAAATATTTCAAAAAAACATAAACTGTAATGCCTTTATCTTTGAGCCTTTAATAGGTAGGTCCCACCTTTGTTTTACCAGTGTATAAGTACTTTAGACATCTAGCGTGTAAACCGATGAATACTTTAATAAGCATTCAGCTCAGAAATCATACGAACTCCTGCACTTAGAACACCGTGATCACCTTGCTTGCATAAATTTTGGCATATCTCTGTTGAATGAAAACAAAAATTGCATTCTTTTAGAGAAGACCAAAGATTGGCAGTCGCGAAAAGGAGGCCGGAAATTGACAAAATTTGTGTGTGGCATCTATCGTCTGTCGTCTCATGCATTGAAATGTGTGTAACAGTAACAATGTCATCCCCATAAAATCGTGTTTCTTAAAGAATAAAAAAGGGTACACAGTCGTCATCAGTTGTTTACACAAGAAATCATACAGGCTGTCATATACAGAAACAAAATTGCGAGTAGGAAATAGGGGGGCTTCAAGCAAGTGTGTACGCATGTGTAGTTGAAAGGGGGGGGGGGGGGCACGTGCCACTACGGCCCCACACCCTGATAAACCAGGTGGGCAACCAACTTTGCAGTTGTGTACTTGCATGCAGGGCTGTTAACGCTAATTTAACGATTAACGCCGTTAATTAACGCCGTTAACGTTAGTTAACGAGTAACGTTAGCGCGTTACAGTTACGCCGAAGCATTAACGTTATCGCGCTACGTTACTTTTGTGGTTAGCGGCATAACGCCGTTAACGTTAACGCTTTTCTGCGGGAGGGCGTACAAATGAGCCATTTTGCACGGATATGTCCATGCGACACTATTGAATTTTGTCGCCTTTAGAAGGCATTGTTGTTTTCTGCTCGTCCGGCTCGCACTCCGCAGCTCCCTCAGCTACGATAGTCAGATTAACGATGACGGCGTTATCAGTTAACGTTAACGGGTTAACGGCGTTAACAGTTAAAGTAAACGTTATCGTCAGCGCGTTACATGTGTCAAAACGTATTAACGATAACGCGTTACGTTAATTTGGTTCGTTATCGCTTTAACGTTAGCGCGCTAACATTTCAAATTAACGTTAACAGCCCTGCTTGCATGTATTCAACCTAACAGTTGAACACATGTGTAGTGTCGCTCTTTAGAACATTCCGTACAAAATGTGCGTCTCATAGAAGGAAGTGGTCAACAGAGGAGTTGCACACTTTCATGAAATTTCATACAATAATTGCAATTGTATCCATATGGGATTTACTCTGACTGAGCGCTCTTTAGTCTGAACTTCGTCACGCTCGTCATAGAATTTAACAGCCTCCACATCTTTAATGCAATATAATCCCCACAAACATCGTTGGTCTTCCCGACGAAAGGGTAGGGATCATAAGTTTTTTCCCCCCAAGCCCAAGTGTTTTATTTTCGTTGCGAGAGCAGTTTAAGGCGGCTGGAAGTCTTCCTCGTCCAGTTACTCGCTCCTTACGACCGTTTACTTTACTCTTCTCCATCCCTGCCCTTCCTCGTCTACTTGCTCGCTTACCTTTTCCCACCCTGTTCCGCTCTTTTTCTTGCTTAGTCGTTCTCCTCCCGTATTCCTCCTCCTCCTCGTTTGCTCGCTCGTCAGCTCTCTCTGTCTCTCTCTCTCTCCCTTGCCACCTTTTTGTGCCGCCTTCTCTTTTTTCCGAGTTTGTCATGAGGCTGAGGGCGGTACGCCCGCAGAGCGGCGCGGAGCCGACCGAGGCAGCACAAGCTGAAACAGCAACCGTCGTGTTTACGGACGAGCTCTTAATTGCTTCCACGGCGCGAGGTATTTTAACCGCTTTAGAAAATGTCGCGGGATAATAAGGGAAGCAGGGGGGGAGGGGGTGTTCACTGCAACGTAGGATTTGGATCTGGTGCGAGGCAAGCGGGTCCGGCGTGGCCGGGTGCGGTGGGGCGGCTTTGCTGGAGAGCAGAGTACCGCCAGCTTCTCTTTTTAAAAAATGCATTTGGGAAAAACAGCCTTCTTTAAAGCGAAAATGGACTATTTATAGTCAGTTACGTAGTGGTTGGTCAGTTGGTCAGACAATATGTGGCCTCAATGTGGGTTACTGTTCCATTGACGGATTGAATTGGCTATCTAAAAGATGTGTGTGTGTGTGGCCAAAAGAGCCCTGCGAAACAGAAGGGACACGCTCAATCCCTCAATCCTCTGAGTTAGCTTGTCTTGCACAAATGACAAATTCCTTCCCTGGCTATAGGTACACAGCTACAATTTCAGACCATACGTTACTGTCCCAATTATACACAATTTACAAAAAGGCACCTTGTCAACAGCAACAGCAAGGGAGGAAAAGAGTTTTTAATACCGGTCATTTTAAAATAGTGAAAAAGTCCAGTATTTGAGGGTGGAGAAGAGGGGTTTGGTACCACTTTCCCGACCACATCTAGATGCATTTTAGCGTTTGCTTTCAACCCCTTTCGGCTGTTGTTTCATGATTCAATGTTGAAGCCCTATATACACCAATCCTGCTTCAACCCATCCAAACGTCCGTAATAATATTTCGACGTGTTTAGTTCTGGCTCCTCTGTGAGAGAAACAATTTGTGAATCTCCCTTTTTGCACCCTGGTCGTACAGAGCCGCTCACCCCTTTACTCCGGGCTTGCAGTGCTGGAGTCTAGACTGCCGCCTCAGCGCGCTCTGCCGGTGGGCCACCACTAGAGCCGTCGCTACTCCGCGCTGTCTCTGCCAGCGAGGAGTAGCGCTAGGACTCTACCCCGCATTCACCAGCGCGGGGTATCACCACTTCCACCACCAAGAAAGGTTACTACCCCACGTCGTGAGTTACATTCATTTTTAAGGAGATTATTGAAAAACCATTAACAGCCAAGTTAAGGTACTGATAACAAACACAAGACTGTATGGGGATGTTTAATGTTAGCAGTAGATCGAGATCAGCCGGCACGCCTCCCGTTCAGCAGAAGCCTGCACAGGACCCACTCCGGCCGCTTGGCTACGAACGAGCGGCTCACCTGCAGCCAGAGGGCTACTTGCTGGCCTGCAAGAAGTTAGTACATACCTACTCGCAAGCATTTTGCAGTGATTCACAGTTCTAGTGGTGTTACTTCAACCCAGCTCTTACAGTAGACAGTAACGCAAGCGAGAAGAAAGGCGAGACCAGCCCCCCAGTCGAGGGTGTTTCTGGCCAGGCAGATGACGTCCGGTCCCTGCCGCAGGAGCAGTCCCTGCGCAGTGAACAGCAGCCATGGCAGATGCAGCAGCGGTTTATCCTGCTGGCACAACAAACGATAACATTTGAAAAACTGTCGTCTCATACGAACGTGAATAGTACCTTTCTTATTATAGGAATGACAGGGAGACGTGCTAAAATAAGTACAATCTTACGAAATGGTATGCAGCGCGCTGGCCGACCGTCGACAGGATGGCCGACACCGCGTGCACCGAGTACAGCGTCAACCGCAGACCTAGACCCAAACGAGACATTCCTTTAGCTTGAGTTTCGTTTACGAAGTAGAAGCTAGAACCCCAGAAGGACTACCGAATGTTTCTTTACACGCGGCGTTAACCACCTGCAGGCCGTTTACCTACTTAAATCACAGTTATCATATGGCGCCTTAGGGATCGTCCACAAAGTACGTCCGTTTTCCTCGGATTGAGTCGGGCAATGAACGTGAGCTCGGCGCCTGCGAGGCTCAGAGTAGGCCACCCCGCAATACACGCGAGCGTCGCCGGCAAGATGTTGCCTACCTACAAGGCGCTATGTCGGGTCGCATCTACTCTACCGCGCGAGTAGAGGTCTTTTGAGACCTACGGTAACTAAGTGAAGTGAAGTGAAGTTCGTAACGGCGAGTGACAGAATGACGGCTGACACAAAGGGTAAGGGGAATAGGTAAGCCCACCCGCACTTCACCGAAGTGCGTGCAAAGAAAAGAAACATTCGATATAGCGAAAATCCCAAAAGTTTTTTCACAGTGCGGTGGTAAAGTATGTGAAGAAAACCAGAAAACCAACAGTGAAGAGGGAACGAGAGAGGACATTGATTAGTGAGAGCAGTATTTGATAAATAAGGTTTTTAAGGTTTGCACAACGTACTCCTGTCACCCGGGCCGCCACCAGCGGAGTCCTCCCGCACGGCCTGCACGGCCTCCACCGCCGTCCAGCTCAGTGCGGCTGCGAGCTGGTAAGGAAGGAGAGGAACAGGGCGTAGCAGGTAATCAGGCGGGGGAGGGTGCGCGGTGCAAGTAAGTACTTGACAGCTGGGCTAGGTCTAGGTCGCACCAGTGACGCTCCAGCCTGGAGCAGTGGATCGAGGACGCTGAGCAGCCGCCAGACTGGAACACACATAGCGCTAGCGATAAATAACTCGCGGGGCAGGTCCACAGACTGGGCCATAGGAAAGAATAGGACCCAGTCGGCGACAAACTAACTGTTGTTCAAACAATGGAACATTGCCAGAAACAGGCTACAAACTTCAATGAGACCGAATTACATTTTCAGCAACGGCAATAAGCCCGTTGCAAACAATGTCAAATTTAAAAACCAGGCAAACTATGAGAGTACTGTCAGTTTAGTGATGAACTCGGCTGCAAAAATGCTCTTTTATACGTACAAGCAGTTTGGTTTTGATTTTCAAGTTCGCTACATCTGTAGTGTGCTCCTCAAATTTACCGTTGCGGACCTCACCTACCTTATCTTTACAGTGTGCATGTGCTTACCGGTGCCACTGACCCCGGGGCTACAGTCGATCGCCATGCCTCCGTCTCCAACAATCAGGCGCAACCCACGCAACCCCTTTTTGTTGAGGGATCAGCAGGTCGGCGGGGTCCGGGCCGGGGGTCTCTTGTCCCTCCTTGCCGCTCTTTGCCTCTCTCTGCCCTGCCCGCCTCATAGCCTTCGTTCAAGTTCAAGACCATATACGAGACCCATTGTGACGTCCTGCCGCGTGACGTCATCACCTGGTTCCTCTGACGTCACCTGTTACCAAATACCGATGGGCGGTGGTTATCGGCTCAACAACCCGATCAGAACGGAGTCGCGGAGTCGCCCCTCCCCCCTCCCTCCCGTCCCTCTCTTCTCATTGCAAGGCCGTCCGCCCGGACCGGGATCATTCCCCCCCTCCCCTTCCCCCGCCTCCTTCCCCCTCTGCCGTGCAGTCCTGCTCAACCTGATTGAGTTTGGCGCGTGGAGCTGTGCGAGCGGCCGGCGCGCCAAAATAACTCTCCAGCGAAAATATCCTGCCTCCGTGATACACACTATTTCTCTCTCTCTTCCTTTGGTATCAGCACACTGCACCACAATTTCGCTGCCTGGACCAGAGACTAGAGCTCCGTTACTTATTACTTAAGTTCCTTAAACGTAGTGAATGTTATTTTCGGCGTTTAAGTGTGTCCATCATCCAGAAATAATTTGAATCATATTATTTGTTATTTCAAAACTGTATCTAGAACGTGTTTTGTTACACTGACTCATACGGGGCCAGGGGGCGCCGGGGGGTTAGTCTATACCGCGTTGCAGTTGTGCGCGGCGGGTTTGCCTATCCATCCACGAGAGACGCCGTGGGAGTAGGCAACTTGCCCACACCCCTGCACCGCGGCACAGTATCTCCACAGGCGCGCATGGCAGTCGGTTGCCCCATTCGTCAACGTCGCACCAGATCTGGGGCAAGCAATGTAAGGGCCGCAGCTCTTCGCACGGTATAACCTGCGTAGGGTGGCCGTTCCGGGGCTAGGTTTAGTCCCAACCAGTTAGGGCAGCCCCCGCCTGTTTGGCTAAGCCCTTTGTGGCGCTGCTCTGTGCGGCCCGCGTCAGGGCGGGCCCGGGCCCGGCCGCTGCTGTATTCACTGGATTTACGTTCCTCCCCACGCCCCGCCCGGCCCCGCCACGCCCCGCCACGCCCCGCCAGGCTGGTCGCTTCGCTGAGCCGTTCAATCCGGGCAGCAGCCACGGTAATTTACGGCCCCTACGTTTGGCTCTATCGAGCCCGAGGATGGCAGCGGCCACGCCGCCGGGCCCCGCGCCGCCCGGCCCCGCGGCTTGTCTAGCGGTCCGGTCGCGAACCAAGCAAAGTGGCCGTTGAGCCGCCTTGTTATTGAGCCGCCGGTCGGCGACACTCCCCGGGCCGGGCCGGGCTGGGCAGGGCCGGACGTGACCCGATCAGGGGCAGATGGGGAGGGCGGGGTGTCGCGCTGCCAATGCCAAGGCTCCGCGGGCCTCGGCCGCGGGCCAGCAGGGTTCGACCACCTCGCACCACCGCGCCCTGTCCCGCCCGGCCTAGCCCGCGCGCCCTGACTCCCGCCCCGCCGACACGGACCGGCGCGCGCGACGCGCACGCTCCCATGCGGGCCGAGCCGAGCAGCGCGGCGGCGGCGGGCGCGGACGAACCCCAATGCTGCACAGCAGCGTCCACTTTATAGTCAAAATAATAATAGCGTTTTTACGGCGCAGCGGTGAAACATGAAACTTCTCATCTTCTCCTCACTCACACAGGCTCGCCGATTTATACCATCAGGAGGTTTAGAGTGGGGAAGGGGGGAGTGTGCGTAGGGAGAGGATGCGGAGCCGGGCGTGGTCCTCCTCTTCTGCCGTCGTCAGTACTTTTCGTTTTGTGGCGCGGTGAGGCGGGGTGGGGGGCGGGGCGCGGCTGGGCGTGCCGTGGCGAAGAGGACCGAACGCGCCGGACCACCGCCTCTTCCGCGTCGGGAGTATAAAAGGGGGCGACGGGTCCGAAGGGGTACTCGTCGTCTACCGGCACTCACCACAGCACTACCATGCAGGTCCTGGTGAGTACTCCACCCCGCCCAGGCCCCGCACCACCCGGATCTCCTTTGTTCAGTGACACTCACGCCCGTCGTCTCTCCCTCTCTCTCTAGATCGCCCTCGCCGCCGTCCTGGCTGTCGCCGTCGCCGCCCCCGCCCCCGGGCTCCTGGCTGGCGCTCCCCTGCTCTCCAAAGTGCAGTACGCCCCCGCCGAGGTGTCCGTCGTCCGTCAGCCCCATGTGGTGACCGAGACCGAGCACGTCTACCGCCAGGTCCCCGTGCCCGTCAAGACCGTCGCCTACACCGCTCCCCAGGTGCACCTCCAGACTGACGTGATCCACGCCGCTCCCGCCGTCGCCTACTCCGCCCCCGCCGTCGCCTACTCCGCCCCCCTTGCCTACTCTGCCCACGGTGCCATCGCCGCCCCCGTGGCATACAGCTCCCCCTACATCCTCTGAGCAGTGGGTCTCCGTCGCACTTCTCACACCCATCATCCTACACATCTATAATTGGTCATGAATAAAACCATACCCTCGTAACCTTATCGTTGTATCCATCGCCCCGACCCCCGACCCTCGGCGAGGGACTCCTCAACATTTACACGGTATTCGTTTTTTTTTATTTTTACGATTCGTAAAAAAATGACTCTCCGTGCACGAAGCAATTTTACATTTCTACTCATAAATTAATGCAACTCAAATACTTTTTGTGTCAAATTTTCTTACATTCTTCGAAATAAGCCATTGCGCAGGTATATGCTCTGTGTGCATTATTGACGAAGTTGACATTGGTGAAAACAACTAATGAAAGACGCGACAACTGTACAGCGAATTAAGAAAAGTAGGAGAGCTATTGAACATTGGTATCCCATACCGTTGACCCCGGTTGGCCCGCGGCGATACTCCGCGCCACCTGGCCTCCACGGCGATACTCCATCTTGCGGTAGACTCTTGTCGCAATGAGTATCGGCCTGGGTGTCGTGTACGTGTAAGTGCTAAAGCGAAAGCAGAGTTGTTTTAATGGAAGAATTTTATTGTTCGCCAGAGCCTTTGGCGCGTGATGAACTATTTTAGCTTCTCGACGGCAGGCTGGTGCCGGGATCGGTCTGGCTCCGTGATATATGCAGCTGAGTCCGGCCAACTCGGCAGAATCCTAAGGCACAGAAAACATAATATGCAATGACCGGAGACAATAAACAATGGAATAGCCCGGCCAACAAACTTAGGCAATGAAAACGTTTTCAATAATGTCTTTTTTACGGGAAGTGCCACCGACTCCCTTAAGTTTTCATACACCGAATCGCAGGGTGGGTTTTGCCGTCACTAAATATTTAAATACTAACTGGAATGCGGCGTTGACCCAAACAAAACATGCCGACAACTCTACTCTGCAACTGCAACAACATTTTTCACCTGCTCATGCTCCCTTGGCCAGGGACCCGAGCAGCTTCCCGCCCGCCCTGTGGCACCTGCTCCTTTGTGTCATGACACATAATAAAGTGGCCTCTAAAATTTCAGACATGCAAATACTTAGTTTGGTAATTTTTAAGATAGTGTGTATTCTGGTAAGAAAATGTTTGAAAATCTTGAATTAACGTACAAACCGCATTAAAGTTCCAAGGCAGTAGGCAACTGGGCTGCACAACTAAACTAGGTGGATGTACACCATCATGACTCGCCTAACATGCTTCACGTCGTATACCGTGTTCACGCTTCAAATAAATAAATTTGACGCCCCCTGCTTCATAAAAATGAGACACCTTGCGGTTTATACTGCGACACAACTAGGGGAGAGCTTTTCTTATGGGAGCTCTTCTTAACTACGTACTACCTCGCCAGGTACACCGCAGCAACGCACCTCGCTCAGAAAATCTCGCTCTTAGTTATGTGTGTTCCTCTCCTGCCTTTGCCATGCGCATCCGCGCCCTGCTGGCACACGACACGGCGTCCAGCACACGCACAGTGCTCACCTCTGAAATCACGAGAACGCTCTCGGCAGCCGTCCCTTTCGACCTCGTCCTGCACGCACTGCTGGCGCCGGAGCCTGACTTTGCCTGCCAGGGATCGCAGTTGCTTCCGCAGGCTCCCGCAGCGCTACTCTCGCCGCACTACACCCCCGCCCGCTTCCGTTGATTGCATCGAGCTGTGTATTACTCGCTTGGCCAATCGCCCCCCTTCCCTTCCCCTCCTCTCTCCTTCTCCCTCGCCCACCCCAAGGGATACTCTTGGGATGGGCGGACAGCCACCCATCCGATACACTCCTTGAAGGCTGGCCGCGCCGAGATAGCGCGCAGCGGGCGTGGCGCGGCGTGGCGTGGCGCGGCGTCGCGATGCCCAGCCTGGCTGCCGCCTAAGGTTTTTCTCTCCGCAAGGCAAAAGATTACAAGCCCTTTGCCATTTTCCCGTTCCCCAATGAGTTGGCCACTCCGGGGGGCGTGGCGGGGGAGGGGGAGCAGGGGGCGTCGTCGGTGCGGCAGCGCGCAGAACAGATGAATAATACATGAATACAGCGGGGGGAGGGGGAGGGGCAAAAGCCGCGGCGCGCGCTTTAAGCGTCTCCGCGTATTAAGAACATTAATTTGTTTTATGGAAGTTTGAGTCTAAGGAGGTCAGCCTGTTGTGCTTGTTTTAAGGGTGTCATTATGTCCCTCAGCGCGCCGCGGCTGACTTCGGCAGGCGCGCTCGGGGAGGGGGTGAGGGGGGCGCAGGGCCGGAGCAGCTGACAACGCCTGCCAACCTGCGCGGCGCCCCCGGCCGTAACTAGGCCCATCAACGACGTGAACGCCGACGCTAATCTGAAAGTTATGCCCGCGCGGGCCGGGCCACTCACCCGCGGCTATAGGGCGGCGCCCCGCGGCCCTGCCCTGCGGTACAGTCCGCCCGCCACAGCACGGCCGCGTGCTCTTCTTGCTCTCCGAGCGGCTTGTACACATGTCGTCGCGGCCCAGTGCCCATCCCGGCTATCCCCATTCCGGCACGTGCCGCGGGGAGCGGCGGGGCGCGGGGCGCGGGGCGCGCGGCTCGCGGACCCTCCCGCACCCTCTGCTGCCGCGTCACGGCGCCACCCACACCCCCTCAGTAAATTACGGTCTGGCCATAATTTGGGATAATCCCTGGCGGCAGCCTTTCCATAAACTGCTCCTCGCGCCGCGGCGGCGCCTCCGAGGCGTTGAGCCCGCGGGACCAGCGGTGGCCACGCACCGGCTAGCGGCCGAGGCGGGGGCACACGGGGACACCCAGGAGGAGGAGGAGGAGGAGGGCGTCCAGGTCACGGGCCGGCACGAGGTCAGGGGTCACCTCCAGCTGTTTGGTGGAGACACCTGAGCGACGGCTTGGAAAAGGGGGGGGGGGCACCGTGCGCGAGACATGAGCCACATTCTTTCCGTTGCCAGAACTTACCTGTCATAAACAGCACAAAGAGACGAAGATAATGCCAGGAGAGAGCGAGAGAGGAGAGAGAGAGCGAGCAAAAGAGAGAGAAAGAGAGGGAGGGAGAGAGAGAGAGAGAGCGATGAGCCAAAGGGTGGGGGGGGGGGGAGGACGTTCGTTGTCGCTCCCGGCCAGGGTCCCCATTCAAATGTCTGACACGCAAAGGCGTCCGGGCGAGGCGGAGGGGGGGGGGGAAGTTCAGTGGCAGGACCCCCCGGCTCATTTAAGGCATTCATGGAGCCGACTCGGTCGCATATAACAGACTCATTAGCGCCCCGCCCTATGGCGTCGCCCTCTCTCTCGCCCAATCGACATTTTATGATATTGTCAAGCGACCCCGGCGCGGCCGCCGCCGCCCCTCCCCCGCGGCCCGCCGCACCGCCGCGCGTCCCCGTGGGGCTTTTGTCATTCTGAGTGAGGAAACGCTCAGACGGCGCCGCCACTCACGGCGCTCGCGGAGGGTGGGAGGGGAGCCGCCCCCGCGTGTCGACGGCCTCGCCAAACGGGCCGCCACAGCGCCCCCACGCCCGCGAGGGAGGCTCCAGGTTGACCCTTTGCAGGATCTGAACAACATGCGGAGTTCAATACGGACGTGTCCCCGATAACGGGTCGCCGTCGCCGCCGCCACCCACGCCTCGCCCGCCCCGCATCAAATAGCTGCGGAGGGGAGGACGACCCCGCGAGCTGTAAACGATATAGCATCGCCCGCCGCGCCCTCGCCGCGGAGTGAGTCAGACCATCTCCCCCGGCCCTGCCCGGCCCTGCCCGGCCCTGCCCGGCCCTGCCCGGCCGCGAGTGCCGCGGCTCCCCAGAGAGGGCCCCGCCCACTGCGTCATCATGCTTTACGGCCGGGCCCTGCGCGCGGCCACAGCCAGCCGGCCCGGCCGGCCCGGCCGGCACAGCGCGCGGCAAAATGTTTTTGAATTGTTAATCGTGTTAAGACGGTGACAAGGCGCGGGCGCGCGGCGGGACTTATGGAAATGCTCCGAAAAGAGGGCGGAATGGCCCAAAGGAGGTGGCGGGGAGAGCGCTGCAGCAGCAGCAGCGGCAAGGGGGCGGCGGCGGCCGTGTTAAAAAGCGAGGAGGCGAAAATGTTGAAAAGTTTATTAAGTCGGGGCGCGGGGGCTGCCGCCGTCGATGCTGTGCGTGCAGGGCCTGCACTGCAGGGCCTCTGATGGAGCCGCGCTGTCTGTCGCCGGCCCGGCCGCCTCCCGCTTCCGTTGACCTGCCCACGCGATGCGACGCCCTTGATCTCCCCCATTGCCAACACATCGTCGGCCCGTTAGCCTCATCGGGCCTCGTGGCGCTTTGGCAGGGCCGGCAGGGCGCGGCGCGGTGCGGGGGAGCGAGGCTCAGTAGCTTTTTATCGCGCTCCTCCAACTCGGCCCGGTCCTGGTCCTCCCCATTCCATCCGATGCGCCATCGACGTGGGGAGGAGGAGGTTGGGGAAGGAGCGCGAGGCTTGCGAGGCGGAGGGGGTAAAGGGCTCCGGGTCCCATTATTCGGATGCGGCCGCAGCCCCATGCGGAATGGGATGGAGCCATTCGAGGCACAAACTGGGCTTCAGGAATCTGAACGGAGAGCGTAAATGCCATTAATTGATTCGCCATGAGCGGCGGGGCCTAGAGGCGAAAGCCGCACGCAGGCTTGCTTCGCCCCAACACACGCGCGAAAGCACAAGCTATATAGCTGGTCGGGCGCGGCCTGCTGCGTTTCCCCGTGTATCACATCCACCTGCATCCGGTCGGAGCGCCGGCGAGTGCATGTTCTTTTCAATAAAAATCGAGCGCCGAGTTACACGATGGACTGCTGGGACTTCAATCACATTTTAAATATACCCACATTGGGAAATTATTTTCCATCCAGAAGAGATGAGAGGCGAGTGCACACATGAGAGAGTTTCTCACACGAACGAAGAAGTCTTTTTCCTTGTTTTTCTTGTCCGTAGCGTTCCTTTCATCCGTTTCGAGGTCCGGTGCCGGGCGTTGCTCCCTCTTCCGTCCTCGCACGGCGGGTACGGGGTGGCATCTTAGCTCAGTTACGCGCGAACGTTCGCGCTGCGCGCGGGTCTGCGGGCCGGGGTGGAATCGGGTGGGGTGGGCGCCGAACGC